TACAAATTAAAAAAAAATCTGTCACAATTATAAATATATATCTGCATGTTGTCAGAAATTTTGACGGGATGGTCTTATTTTCTGGAGATCCCGTAGGTTCGTTACACGTGTTCACATTGGGGACCGGTCCCCGCTTTGAGGGTCGAGCTTTCCATAAGTCTGTGTAGAGCATTTTATCGTTTTATTCACTCGCTTTTTAAAAACCTTTTTGGGTATAATTATTGTATTTACTTACATTATAATAATATCAAGCTTCTTAGGTTTTATTACTTGTATTCTGTCTAACTTTGTGGTTCTCTTCAAACAGTTTATAGGTTCATTGTATAAATTTCACATATGTATCTTTAGCATCAAAAGAGATATTAGATATGCCGTATGTGATATGTGCATCCTCATTATTGTTATTATTATATATATATATTCTGACTAAATGTTAATTAAAGAGATGGGATCTCTGCCTAGCTAACTCGTGCACCAATGAATATAAAAGGGTAGATAAATGTGTCACATGGGAACCCTTGCATAGGAGACTCGAATGCCATAACAATGGGGAGCCAAATTACTATATACGTGTCTGTCTAACGTATCTGAACGTGAACTGTGTAAGAACCAAGCAAATATATCTATTTAACTGAAGAAAAAAAAATCATATTATATACTTAAGAACACCTAGAAAGTTCTTCGAGTTTTTTAAATAATACTCTTTCCATTTCTAATTATACGATGTTTAAAGTTTATGTATTCCAATTAAAAAATTATTAAATTTTTATTGGTTTTTGAAATAAATCATCAATTTTTATCTACCCAAAATATTTTATTCAATAGAAAATCAATCTGCACAATATAAAGAGTCAAAAACACTAAAAAATCAATTAATTATGCATAGAAAAGTAAAAACATCATATAATAAAAAAACAAAAAATAATGCTCAAAACATCCTATATATAAAAACAGAAGGAGTATAAAATATTAATATAATATTATGAGTTTCTCAAATAATGATAGAAATCTTACAAAAGTTTTTTGATGAAAATACTTTATTGGAGTTTCTAACACTATTTAAAAAATC